CTTTTTCTTTTTGGCGCCAATCTATTTGCTACGGCTATCTTCACTAGTCTCCGGCTATCACAACTAAATGAGGCTCAATTCTCTTCTGAATAGAACGCGCGCAGCTAAGCAGAGTATAGAGTACACAGCGCTTTTTTACGGAACTTATGTGCAATTCGAATTGTCTTCATGAGTCTGTGATGTATTTTTCTATAATTAGGCTTCACTTTAATTGCAAGAACGTCATTTGCTGCGGCTATTTTACGAAGTGGCATTATGATTATTGGTAATAGAAACAAAGCAAATTTGAATATAGGCTGTTCACTTCACATCTATGAATGGTATGAATCCAACTATGTCGATATGAATTTCCTTGAGAAATGTCCGGCAACATCGATCTTTTTCTTCTGCTACTATCATATTAACCTAGTGACAGTTAGGATCTTTGAAAGGCATGAATCTAATCTTCCATGTATGTCTTGACAAAAAATACCTTCTCACTGGCATACCAGGATGGCTGTATTTATTAAGTTGTTCGGAGAGTCATATCACATTTTTCCAGAAACGAATGTTATGTCATTATCATTAATAATACAGAGATTTTTTTTCGATTAATTACCTACATTAAATCAATGGAATTTTTTTTAATTTTAGTGTTTTATAAAAAAAATAGTGTTTTATACTATCCCTTCTATTGGTCTTTGTCCTTGTATATCTATTAGATTTGTTTCCAGCTATTCATAAAGCCGTCTACCTATCTCAATCCAAGTCTGAATGCCGATCGATATACGACCGAATATAACAAATTGATAGCTGCCCTTCGCTGCATAAATCATAATTAAATGATGTTTCTACATCTGTTTAAGTTTGCCTCTAACTATAAACACACACACACATATACATACAGGCACACACACACAAACACACACACGCATACACACATACACACACATATATATATGAGTGAGAGAGGCAAAGTCCTTTTTACTGCTACATTATTTAAACATACATGTCTATGAAATTTGAGATGGTTATTTCTATTACTGCATTTATGCGCAGAATAAATAAAAATTACCAAAACAAAGAAAAAAAATAAAACATATCCTAAGGTAGAGCTAAGATTTTTTTTTAAATCCGATATATAGATTAGGTATTGATTAGATACTGACTGATATAAGTGATAAATATGACTAAAAAATTATATGGCGTTAATACACTGGCTTCTCCCTTGTCCAAGTGTTTGGATTCTGCAGTTTCAACTATTCGTGATTAGTCAGATCTATAATAAACTAATAAGCTAAAAATTAGTGGTTATAATTACACACACACACACGCACACACACAGACACTCATACACACACACACACACACACACATATATATATATATATATATATATATATATATATATATATATATATACACTGCATGCATGAGCCTTTAATTTTTTTCTATATGTATTAGTAGTAATATTTTGTATTTGATAATTATCTAGATTCAAAATGTTCATCAACGTATATTACGAAATGGACAGACAATTATTTTAATATATTTTATTGTAATACATTATTTATATACACAAATATTTAAGTAAATGCTCTCTTTATAATAAACAGTATTAACAACATGTAATCGTCTGAATGTCCGAGAAATTTCATAAAAATATGTCTTCCGACATGAAGCTATTAACGTATAACAATAAAATATATTGAAATAATTGTAGGTCTATTTCGTAATATATGACGTCACTTGTGTACGTTAATATTTGCTTCGAGCAGATATGAACGTTCGAGGGAAATCATGGGAAGTTTGTTGTTTAAAAAGCAGTGAATCGACCTTGCTAACCATACGTAGCATCAACTGGTATAGAATGTCAGACCGTTGTCATCATCTTTGTCATATTCAAGACACATGGCCTAGTGACTGACTTGGTTGACTTGACCCATTGAGTGTTTGAGCCACCGGGGGTTAAAAAACTTATTAATTAACAGAAAATAAGATATCAAGAGAAGGCATGATACGTGAAGCGAGAACAATCTACCCCCGTGAACTAAATAAAGTGTTCGGCTTGAAATTCTAACTTATATCACCAGAAGAAGACCAGTGAAGTACAACGGCTGAAACGTCGTGAATATGGCCATTAAGAAGAGGACAACAGTCCGAACAATGTAAATAGTGTAAATAGTTAAAATACCTCACCTTCAAAATATCCGGGGATGCCTGTCTAGCTAATCCCCGTTGCAGACGCCTACTCTGGTACCCACAGTATATACTGCAACGATAGTGAGCAGACCTTAGTTACAGTTTCTTTGAGAGTGTGCGTCATATAGCATGTTCCAATCCTCTATAACGATGACTTGTGATTTAGTTCTAGGACAACGATCGACGGCTCCCAAGTGTTCCGTCTAACCAATTTAATTCAGGAAATTTTCAAAGTTACCGCACGCTGCGATCGTCTAAAAAGGCACCTTCCTGACAAATCGATCATAGTAAGATTCGAACCTGGGTCTCATAGTCACGAAAGCCACGCGTCCATAATATAGACTGATTTTATGTAATAATATTATTAACCTTATTTATTTATTAACCTCATTTAGATAAGTTCTTTTCCAACGAAATGAAGAAATCTCAATGCAATATATATATATATATATATATATATATATATATATATATATATATATATATATATATATATATATATATATATATATATATATATATATAGTGACTGTTTTTATATATGTACCTTTACAAGATTATATACGCATTTCTAAACGAAAATTTAAAATTGTTCGGATAATGGCATCATTAATTTCATATAGATATGAATTTATCTGGATCAAAGTAAGAAAGTTGCTCAAAATGTTCCACATCTGACGCCTAGTTATCAGCTGAACGTGGTCTAAAATCGTTACTCTATAACGTCTGATATATGTAATTAATATTTCCATCAAATTACGACAATTGTAAAAGAAAGGAATGATGTTGAAAAGGATAATATGTTTGTAGATAATAAATGCTTTTTTCGACATCAAACTACAGACTGATTTATGTGCCTATATATATATATATATATATATATATATATATATATAGGCAACCTGATATACACATGCTAATAAATGTTCTTTATTTCCATCAGAATCTCGAGACATAGACAACCTTATAAAAACAGACAGCGATAACATCGACAAACATTAAATTCCCTTAAACAGAATCACTGTCCAAACAGCGATTTCCCCTCCGAGGCAGGAAAAAAGATCTTCGTCCTAATTCGAAAACACGATTTCCATTTTTGGCTCAATGTTCGTTCAACCCCAGAAAGAATAGTGTGTGTGTGTGTGTGTGTGTGTGTGTGTGTGTGTGTGTGTGTGTGTGTGTGTGTGTGTGTGTGTGTGTGTGTGTGTGTGTGTGTGTGTGTGTGTGTTGCATGAGGGGGTGGTATTTTTCAAGGTATTTTCTATTTGTTTATTTATTGGTTTTGTTTTGTATGATTAAAGATTTTCATGTTACTTGATCCTTACGTTTTATTTTCCTGATAAACATGTTTTTTTTTTCTCTTTTTTTTTAGTTCCTGTTTTTAACGATTTCCTTTGAGCCAATCTCAGCAAACATCGACTGACAAACATTTACCTTCCCAGTTTTCAAGTGACGGCTTTTGGTCGTGTTTTTCTTGGCTTCCACGCGTTGCTTGTGACCAACCGTCTAAAAGCCAATAAAAAAGGAAAGAAACACTCCCAACTGACCACAGCAAGACGTTTTGTTTTTCTCAGCCTCGTCTCTTTATTACCTGACATTGACCCAGCTAAGATCTTTTAAATATTTCTGTTTTTATCTATGCAAAGAAATTCCGCTTGATGGGCTAATACAATGCTGTTGGCAATTTGCTTGATCCTTTAAAGAAAACGTATCATAATCCTATTCTTTTGTAATACGTCTTTTAATACCTGGCCACAGACAATTCCTTACTTATTTAATTGCCACAGCAGAGGAAACAAAAACTTGGAAAGTTCAGTTACTAAATGAAATTAACCGAAATTGAGATATCCAAAAAATGCATGGAATGTTGAAGTAGAACAATCTACAGTAGTGGAATAAAAGGGTTCGGTTCGAAATCCCAACATATGTCACCTGAAGAAGGTCGGAGTGTACAACGGACGAAACAGCGTGAATATGGCAAAAAAGATAAGGGCAACAGTCTGAACGATGTGAATAGCGTAAATAGTTCTTTTCTCTTCATAATTCTTGTATTAGTTAAAACTAGTTTCTTCTTGATTTTCAGTGCATAACAGAGATTTACGAAACTTTTAAATAAATTTTAAAGAAAACTTTTTAAAAGACGTTGCTTTCTGATCTCTCACACTATAAATATTTCGTCTGCTTATTACTCCAAAATGAATTTCTTACTCGATGATGCTTGAACTCTTTATTCTCAAGATAAAGTCGTCGAGATAAATATGTTGACCATTTTGCCACAGTTATCCTATAGTTATTTAGTAAACTTATCTTAGACGGTCACAGCACTATAAAAGGTTATATCTCTATCCAACGTAAACATGAAAATGTATGAAGAAATAATAATTAACGACAAAAATAAACAGCTTTCTTACAGCAATGCTATAAACTAAAATATATTTGTTAAAGCGTATTCGATATAAGTAAATGTTAGGAATTTGAAATTGAAAAATATATTACCTTAAGCTACTGTTATATCATTTAATGATTGGATTACTGAGGCACGATCAAAAAGAGTAAAGGCAAGCACGTTAAGAAGATATTGATAGTCCCAGTTTACAGTGATTTCAAATATTCGGAGTCTTGTAGAACAGCTCCTCTACTCGGGAGAATATTATTAATGGAGATAAAATATAAAAAATGTACAAGTTAAGTATCACTTAACATTAGAATGTATTTACAAGCCTTACATTAAGCATCGGGTAATAAACAAAAATCAAAAGTAAATAATAAATAAAGAAAAAATGAAAAAGTAAAAAAAAAGGGATAAAAGAAATAAAAAATTAAAAAAGATAAACAAAAGTGAAATAAATGAAAAATGAAAAAGAGAGAAATATTGAAAAAAGGAGAAAAAGATAAAAACAAAAAGAGAGAAAAAGGAAAAGAGAAACAGAAAATACAAGTAAAAAATGAAAACGGAAAAACAAAGAAAAAAGAAATAAAAAAATAATAAAAAGAATCAAAAAAGGAAAAAAAGAAACAAAAAGAAAAAAGAGAAAAAGAAACAAAAAGAAAAGGAAAAAAGAAAATAAAAGAAACGTAAAAGAAAAGGAAAAAGAAAAGGAAAAATGAAAGAAGAAAAAAGAAAAGAAAAATAAAATGAAAAAATGAAAAAAGAAAAACAAAGAAAAAGAAACAAAAAGAAACCAAAAAGAACAAAAAGAAGCAAAAAAGGAAAAAGAACAATGAAGAAACGAAAGAAAGAAAAAGAAAAAAGAAAGATAAAAGAAAAAGAAACAAAAAGAAAGAAAAAAGAAAAGGAAAAAAGAAAGAAAAAGAAACGAAAAAGAAAAGAGAAAGTAAGAAAAAAGAACGAAAAAGAAGGAAGAAAAAAGAAAAGAAAATGAAAAGATGAAAAAAAGAAAAAAATAGCAAGAAGAACGATCTCTTATTCAGTAGAGGTTGGTATGCTCAGGGATACCTTGTTGCTCCTTAAGATCAGTGCCTTAAAACTAGCTATTCACAGAAATAGCTGATCATGTATGGAGGGAAAATGGTGGTTACTAACCATTGAAAATAATACTAAACAAAGAATAACATCGGAGATTCAGAGGCTAAAGAAATCAGCGTATATATTAAAGCTATGAGAGCCTCCTTAGTTGATCTACTAGAAGAATAAACACCATATGGAAGTCATTAATATAAATATGAAATGACAGCAGTGCTTCAGCAGCAGCAGCAAGAAGACAAAGGCCAGTGAATGGATTCAAGCATGACAGCAGTATAGTCAGCAGTTAATAGGATTAAATAATAAGTTTATTGCACCAATGCACAATTCCAAGTATATCATTGTAGCTACAGTGTTGTGCAGAAAGTTTTGATTCGACCATGTAACCAAATGGTTTCGGCTGAAAACCAAATGAATAAGACAATCAAACCGACCATCCCGGTCTGGTATGATAGACGGTTCTTGAAGTCATAAAGGAAATTCAGCCATATTGGGGAAATAAAGGAAGCAATGGACCACAATTTCACATCCTGCTTCCCTCTCTCTTCCCTCACTCTCACTCAACATTCATGCACACATTTTGTGTGTGTATTTTCTATATTTGTGCTTTTATTTCCTCCGTCATTTCTCTAATTTTTTTTCTCTCTTTCTTTCTCTGAACTTTTACTTGTCGTTCTCGAATGTTTTGCTGTCATCTTACCACTATTCTTTTTTTTTGTTTGTTTATTTGGCTCAGTTTTCGAGATTTCAATTTTTGACGATGGCTACGTATTTTAGGCGCGTCAAAATCATTAGAGCACATCTAGCTCGATGTTGATTATGATTGATGATGATGAGGAGGCCGTTTCATTTTTCCTGTGGAGTTCCGGTATTATTTTTTCGTTGTTTGATGCAGACGTCAACAGTTTCAAGTCTCCTAACAAATGGTCAGTACACACCGCCATCAACATACGACATCACTCCGAGAAAATGATTAAAAACATCCGTGTCACCTAAGTTCTCATAAGTCTAACATTATCTGTGAATAAATAATAATAATACAGGTGCGCATTTCCAAAAAAGAAAATTTATCAATCGTTTATGTAAAGTTACGAACTCTGGGTAAGGGTTGTAGATCAAAGCTTGTAAAGTTGCTCTCTAGATCATATTTCTTGAAAATAAATCTAAAAAACATATTTTTCTATTTCTTGAAAATTAGGGAATACTGTTTTTAATCATTTCGCCCAAAGTAAGGCAATAAGTTCATAAAAATATAAGGGGTTAGTGAGTGTTAGAAAATATGAGAAAATCATTATTAAGGAGAGAAAACAATAAAAGAACAGTAATTAAGAAAACAGAAGATAACGATTAACATTATATATATCAATTTAGGAAGATCAAAGTTGACTGGGAAGCAAGGAGCCGGAAGATAGTTCGACAAGCAAGAAATGTTATAGAAGAAATTATTAACTTAGAAGTTACGGTTACGTCTAGCAATTTCAGCTGTAAAATGATGAGACCTTGCCACCAAGTACTTCGCTTAAATTCATAAGGTCCTCCATAGAGGAAAATTCATCAGAAAAATGACTATGAAAATATTTATAGAAAAGGTACAGGAAAGCTACAATATGACGGTGGAAAACTGACTCAAGACGAGATGTCTGGAGTAGCCCTGCCCGTTTTAAAGTTATACTCCGAAATGAAGTATTTTCCCATTTGTTTTCCTATTGATCTTTTCGACTGATTTTTAACACACAGGTAATTGGACCAATATAGGTATTCAAACATGAAGAAACACGGCAAATCATTGTGATTTGTCATTTTCATTAGATCTGTTCGTATCTGAGAATACACATTTGTTTTTCTTTAACGTGAACTGGCCATAATACAGTTCAAGTGCATGGGCCTCATAGAGTTTTTAATTCAGGCTTTCCTCCTATACTATTTGGCAAATATGGACACCTCACTTGGGATTTGACTCATATCTACAGGAATGATAGATGGATTCATTCCTTTGACAAGTTTATTTGTACGAAATTGGATGTAACGATTCCGACCTGAATTCGAACCCAGCTGATTTCTCGTTGCAAGTCATTACACCATTTACATAAGTTCAATTAAACCCCGTGCGTAAAATTTAGCGGCACAAATAGATGCAACTTTCAATGAAGTTTATATTCGCACCAACGATTTCTTCATTTCCGCCAAGTCAAACAGAAAATCGACATGCTGTTGCTACACTTCTCAAAATCGTGAAGGAGACATGTTGGAATAATGGATAGCGGTTCGGATTAAGGCATCGGAGAGCCGAGTTCGAATTCCGCTCGGATCCGTTACATTCACTTTCGTGCTAATACCTTTGGAAAAGGTATGAATCCTCTTCTTTTCCCCTTGCTATGAGTAAATAGCAGAACAGACTGGGTTCTTTAGCCTTGGGTGGCAAACGATCTAGCAGAAAGTAACTCTAGAAGAAAGAATTCAAAACTGTGTGTAGCCCTGGCGTAGCGCATACTATACAGCTAAAGGAAAGGATTGTTCGCATTAGTTCGAGGATCCTGACTGCAGTCGACAAATGATGATGAAATCATGATAAAATTTTGTTTCGATTTTTACAATTTCATTCGGTTAGATTTACTCATGAAATGAAATTTGCCATTATTCTCTGAAATATACTGACGTGTATCCTTATATTTGTTGTTTTGAACCTAGTGTCGATATTGCATCCGATACACATCGATTATTATTTATATATAACCCTCTATATACAGTGTCCCTTCAGGACGTTGGCGATCATGTCTCTCCACAACTTTCTGTATTTATTAACTCTCAGTATAGTTTCTCTTTTTCTTATCCCTCTTAATCTCTATTCTGCCAACCATTTACACAAGATCGAGAGCTAGGTTATTCGCTACTTTCTTCTTACCTGCCAATATCAAATAAGCCCTCTTTCCTCATTATGTGTAATATATTCCCTAAATCTTCGTCGTTGCTCATATGTTAAGTTGCATATATAGCATTCTGAGCATCCTTATGTACAACAACATTTCTAATGATTCAAGTCTCTTCATCTTTGTTATTTTCCAGTATTCATTGTTATATAGGAAGACTTATATTGCATAACACTTCAGTACACTTTTATTTCCTTCAAGCGATTTTTTCTGTTTCTTAATACTTTGCTGAGCATTTTGAAGGCGTCTTTTGCTATACACCTTCGGATTTCGGTGTCGCATGAATCAATTACAAAATATGTATTGATTAAAAATATGAATTAATAATATATAAATCATGAACAGAGGTAAGGCAGCTATGCCCACAATTATAAATGGCCACGAGGTCATATCTTCCTCGACAGAAAAGGCGAACCTCTTTGCCTCCATCTTTGCCTCTAACTTATCAAAGGTATTGAACCTAAGAAAGCCACTGCTTCAGACGAAATTCCAGTGACTGTCCTTATAAATATCAACCCGGAATTATAAATATCAACCCGGAATTATCCCCAATCATAGCAAAGTTATTCAGCCGCTGCTTGAATGAGAAATCCTTCCCAAGCTTATGGAAAGTATCAAGGGTATGCTCGGTTTTCAGGGACACGGGCGGGCTATCTTACCCCTACCCAATACAGACCTATTAGTCTCATCAGCAAGCTTTTTGAGGCCATAATCAATAAGGTCGTCGAGCACCTAGAAAACAACAAACTTTTCAGCGACGACCGGTATAGGTTTCGGATGGCCCGAACCACTGCCGATGTCCTGACTACCATTACTCACAAAATCAGTGAGGCTCTTGATGACAAACATACCTCATGGAGCATGACACTAGATATGTCAAAGGGCTTCGACAAGGTGTGGCACAAAGTCTTACTACACAAACTCTCCAGTTATTGAATCAATGGAAGTATCTTCTCGATCATAAAATCCTTCTTAACATGTAGGTCTTTGAAGGTAGTTATCAATGGTCAGTCCTGCGGAGCTCTACGGACGGGTCAACGCTGGCATCCGCCGGATATCACACCGTTGGATTAACCCCCTTTTTGAACTACATAAATGATCTACCTAAGAATATATTCAGATCATTTGTAAGCATCTTGGCCGACAATACAACTATATACGGGTGCACCTTGATGGTCAGAGATTGGCCGCTGGCCTCTCTTCCGATCCAGCACAAACTACCCAATGGGGTAAAAAATGGCTGGTTACATTCAATTCCTCGAAGACCAAGCGAGTTACATTCTATCATCGCCGATCTGACCCCGAACTACCACCAATCAGGATGAACGGAGGTCTTCTCGAGGGAGCACTATGCCTTGAAAAACTGCTGAGCCTCAAACTCACACCCGACCTCAAGTAGAACACACACATACGATCCATTGCTAAGGATGCAAATGAAATGTTCGACTCTTTCTACCTCTCTAGTAATTACCTGACTCCCCCTGCTAACCTCCACCTTTACAAGAGCCAGATCAGGACAAAAATGAAGTACTGTTATCATATTTGAGTGGGAACTGAACAGACATCACTCTCCAACTTTTATAGAGTTAAATAAAAAACGTCTCTGAGCCCTTGTGGGTGACGACTTATTCTCTACCCTTCAAACTCTCTCCCACAGCCTGGGTGTGGCAGGATTCTCGCTGCTCTACTGCTATTTCCACGGAAAGTGCTCGGATGAACTACATTCTCTGGTCCCACCAAGGTAAACCTTCACGACAAGAACACGCTATGCCACTTACATAGTAGCAAACCACCCGCATTCCCTCCATATTCCACCGGTGAGAAGTAAGTTCCAGCGAACCACTGCCCTGTGGAACCGACTCCCACGAGGATGTTTTCCCCGATCACTACAACATTAACCGTTATCTTCCACTCTTATACACACAAGTGGCCTTTTAATGTAACCCTCTCTATATATGAGATAACAATATGTATTTGTTATATATCAAGAACAGTACCAACATTCAGACATT